TTGCACCTGAAACGGCTTCAAAAATGTCCTTACCCGTTGTTGTGCCCTTTAGACTCCGAAGATCAAGCAGCTCCTCCGTAATGCAAAAGTTATCGTCAACTCCCCGCAAAAAAATTAACAATTAATTTTCTTGTGTTTTGTTAGCACGGTAAAAGTACTGTTGTTGAGCCTGCAGGTTAGCTGCCATTTGCTTGACTTTCTCCTCTCGCTCAGCAGCAGTGTAGGACGTGAAGGTCGGATGCTTGGTTTCGTAGTGTCGTCAGACATTGTACTCTTTCATCACTGCAACTGTTTCATTGCAAATCAAACAGACACACTTCTCCTTGACTTCTTTGAAGAAATATTCATTTTCCGACCGTGTTTGAAATTTTCTGCATTCACTTGCTATCTTTGGTTCTGCCATTTTGTCATCGCGGAAATTTTTTATTTGAAACATTTTTTTTGTGGAAAAGCTGCATTAGGACTGCAGCTAGTGAAACTGGTCAAACTAAGAACTACAATACAGTCAAGTGCAAATTTCATGTGTGGGCCACATTCCATTCTATTTTTATAATTTGCTGCGGGCCAATAAAAAATGGATCCCGGGCCGCAGTTGGCCCGCGGGGCGTACTTTGGACACCCCTGCTCTACACTCTAGCCCTCGAGGTCTCCCCCTAGCAACCGCAATACACACTCATGTAAAACTCAGAAATGGAGCAAAGAACCAGTGAAACATAATCAGTGGTTATGAAAAAAGTACAATAGATATCAACATTTTTTTTTCCATAAAATAGTTGAGACTTGTGTCAACATTTGAAAGTTTAAATGGTGTCTGTAGCTGAAAGATTGGCGAAGCTGAAAAATCTGAAAGTTGAAGTTTAAGAGGATTTGAAAACAAACTCCAATAGAAATAAATATTAATGATTATTGATTTATATACATTCAAGCTTAAGAAAGCTGAAAAGTCAAAGCCCGAAAGGAGCAGAACATTTTAATATTTGAATAGCCTCCTAGGCTTCCGTAGTCCCGTTTTTCCTTCACAGAAGCGTTACTCTGTTGAAGGTAAGTCGAGGGAAAAACGATGTCGCACTATTTCGCTATGTTCTTAGAAATATAACTGTTAACATCAGAAATCATTGCCGTGGGTAACATTAACATAACCACAGTTTTCAGCTGTGGTGCGTCATTATTTTAGACAATGGAGTGGTGATAAAAGTATACGTTTGGTCACTGTTTAATTTCACGCCGTTTGTACTCGCTACATCCGGTCATCCTGACATATACGTTCCTCTCTATAGACCGTGTGTGTAGGGAGCTGATGTGCGGAGACCAGGAGGCAATGTCTGTGTTTTGTTGTCTTCTGCAGGTATGTGTTTTGTTTTAATGCTGGGATTTTTGCAGTTGTCACTGTTATTGTTGGAATGCATTAAGCATTCCAAGTATTGTTCTTCTATTCCTTATTGTTGGAATGCATTAAGCATTCCAAGTATTGTTCTTTGAATCTTTATTAAATGTCTTAATGTTTTAATGTCTTAAAACCGTTCAAATGTTAAAATGTTCAGCTCTTTCCCGGGAGGTGGGCTATGACTTTTCAGCTTTCTACCTCTTAAGCTTGAATTTATATAAATCAGTAATCATGAATATTTCTGCTAATGGTTTTCCAATGGACATCGTGTTTAAATCCTCTTAAACTTTCAGATTTTTCAGCTTTGCCAATCTTTCAGCTACAGACACCAAAAGCCCCATAGGCTCCAATACAAATCTGGCGACATATTTCTCAAAAAATCCAGAAGGTACATGTTTTGTAAACTGCGAAAGGAGCCGTATTTATTACCGGACAGACATAAAAACTGCATCCATGCGTTCGGTAGAGTCTTGGGTCTCTTTTTTAGATAGCTGTTATAGTTTTGGGCTAAAGGACACTTGTTTGAGGTGTGGATTCTGTGTAACTCGCTGTCCTGTGTCTGCCCTTTGCAGCAGCTCGTTAATGAACCCAGGTGCGCCATTGCCGTGGATGCTCACACACACACGCTGCAGTACCTCTGTCTGTGACTCACAGCTGCTCCTATTACCTGATTAGTGGAGTCACATGACGCAGCTATGCTTTCTGTCAACAGACCAACATGATAAAGACACTAGCCCCCCTCCACCCTGACCTCTTCGCACTGTTAATCACTCAGTCAGTCTGTCTGTCTATTTCTCCTCCTCTCTCTCTCCCTCTATCTCTTACTCACCACCACATTCTTCCTCACCCTCTCACCCTCCCTCCCTCTATCTACACCCCCCACCCCACCCAGTCCAATAATTTCAAAATAAAAGCCTCATGGAAGGATTTTTTACTGTAATGTTTGTGATTAGGCCTATTAATTAAAAACTTTTGAATAACAAACATTCTGTCTCCCAAACCACCTTTACCCAATTCTATCATATCAAAATAAAAGCCTCAATTTACCTGATTAGTGGAGTCACATGACACAGCTATGCTTTCTGTCAACAGATCAATATGATAAAGACACTCGCCCCCTCCTACCCCTCCACCCTGACCTCTTCTCACTGTTAATCACTCACTCAGTCAGTATGTCCGTCTAATTCTCCTCCTCTCCCTCTCCCTCTATCCTCACCACCCCTCCCTTCCTCACCCTCTCACACTTCAAAAATTTTGAAATTTTGAATTTCAAAATAAAAGCCCCATGGAGGGAGTTTTTACTGTAATGTTTGTGATGAGGCCCATTAATTAAAAACTTCTTAGTTTGTATAACAAACATTCTGTCTCCCAACCCCCCCTCACCCAATTCCATCATATCAAAATAAAAGCCTCAATGATTATCTGTACCTTAACCATGAAGCTCAGAATGAAGCGGTTTCGTTGAAATACGTATTGCTCTTTCAAATACTACTACAACCACTATGAATATTACAAGTACTACAACTGATACTTCTACTACCATAATACTAGTATTTCTACTGCTATTAATACTACAACTACTACTAATGATATTACAAATACAAATTACAAATTTGTATTACAGCTGTTTCTACTGCTATTGATACTAAACCTACTTCTACAGCTAGTACTACTAATACCACAATTACAGCTATAACTAATTAAACTAATATTGCTACAAACAATTTTAAACCTCTTTTTATTCATCTCAGCTTTTGTTATTTCTGTACTTTTTCAAATTCAGTTAAGCTCCTGCAACTTCTGTTTTTAGAAAATCTTTTGAAATTCAGCTTCCGCAGTTCCTGGATTTTCAGCAGTTCTTTAAAATAATTTCAGCTTTTCATATGCCTGTATTAACAGCAATGTTTTAATATTAATTTCTGTATTTATTTACAAAATATATCACATTCATTTCAGCTGTTTTCATTTCTGCTTTTTCAGCAAGTATATTGAAATTCCTTTCAGCTTCTCCCATTTCTGTATTTTCAGCAATTTCAAATTAATTTCAGCTTTTCTAATATCTCTAATTTCAGCAAATGTATTCAAATTCCCTTCAACTTTCTGTATTTTCAGCTATTTTTAAAAATTCAGTTGAGCTTTCTGCTTTTTGCATTCCAACGCATTTTCAGCAGGAAATGCATTTTCTAGTTCAAGTCTCCTGTCTCATTCATCTGGCCAAGCTTGCCACAGTATTTTACACAACAGTAGGAGTAGGCTATACACAACACATGAGTGAAGAAAAATTTCTCGCGATCGACTGCAACTCAGCCCGCAATCGACTGGTTGGGCACACCTGAATTAAATTATTAGAAGAACTAAGAAAGAAGAAAGCAATTTCCTTATATCGAAACAATTATTATTATTATCAGTCCAATTAAAATAATTTGTGTAAAGATTTTAAATTCCTTGCATACCAAAGCACCTAAGGAGCTGTATTTGTCATCAATATGCTACATTGTATATGTTATTTACGTTCAATAAATGTCTAACATTTTCAGGCATTTTTTAACTCACTGAAGACAAGCGTTCCAGGCGATCTCGTCACAGTACCCGGAGCCACCGAAAAGATATCCTTCTTACATACTTATATGTCATTATTTTAATTTAAAAAAAACTTTGAAGTGGGTTTTTTTCAATGTGGGATGTCACAAGTCCAGAGAGCAGTAACCTTTCTCATGAAAATACTACTAGTCGTCTACCTCAAATGACGCGTTTGAAAGAGGAGGTGAATGAATCTCTGTCCGACGATTCTTTTTTTTTTTTTACATGAAAGCCACAGAAGCTGATCACTTTTAAAGATCTTGCCTGTTATAACATGCTGTGGGACACGTAGAAACCAAATTACATAGATAAGTGGCTTTTTATTGGCATCTTCACGTCCCAACCCAAACCTTTTATTTTTTCTCTTGAACGTTGCCGTTCCAGGCAGAGACAAAATCAAAAGTAGGTTAGGTTGTGCTCCCTTCAACCCTTTAATGGCAGGTGCATCCACTGACGTGGCATCGGTACATCAACTGCTTTGTGTTCTCCTCAAAGGCTGTTTGAGGCAAAGGTCGTTGCTTCTCACCTGCAGCAAAGTTCTTCTTGTACCGAATGTCCTTAACCTGAGGTTTTAACATCGAGCTCACCAGGCCCATCAACATGGCAGAGCTGAGGAAATTACGCCGACAGTTCATCAGCTACACCAAGACGCACCCAACGGAGAACAGCGGACACATTTCTAAAATGTTTGTGCAGTATTTAAATAAGAGTCTTCACTGACATTTTAATAGTAGATGTTTCAGTTTATTATTTGCTTCAACTAATAAATTAATTAAATGGTATTTGTTACGTGTCTGTGTGTTATTGACTTTGCATTTGTTAATGACAAGAAACTAGTTATTGTAAAACTTGAACCAGAAAGACATGTAATACCTCATATTGATATAATACATTATATACAAATATATCATAATAGTAATGCTTTTTGCTATATCAATGTTTTTCTAAACACCGCAAGTTCAACAACTGACTTTTTTGAATGACAGCCTATACAAGAAACCCACACAAAAGGAACTTTATCATAACAAGTATTTATTCACAGAATTGTCCTCGAAGTCTCTTTTCTCTGAGTAAAGGCGGTGCCAAAGATTCGGTCCCCGTGGCAGAAGAAGGGGGCGTAGTTGCTGCTCGGCCTCTGGTGGTGCATGTCGTGAGCCGGTGCGCCGCCCAGCAGACCGAAAGGCACCATGTGGTTGAGGGTCCACGGCAGGTCGTAACCAATGTGGTCCTCAACTGACATCCAGATGCTGAAAACCGTCACACACCATGTGGTCAATGGGTGGCACCTTAAAAGAATTGAGTCCTGGTTGCTCCACAATCCAATGGATATCAGCTCTGGGATGCTGAACAGCTGAGTGCACCAAGAAAAAGGAGCCACGTATTCATGGTGGGTCGCGTGCATGAAACGATAGAGCTGTGGTTGCTTGTGATGAATGAAATGCCAGATGTAGTACTGAGTGTCAAAGAGAAGAAGTACAGCCAGCCCATCGATGATCACCTTATACAGTGTCAGAGCAGTATCTGGCAGTTTTCGTGTAGGCAGTATGAACATGGTGAGCAGAGCAATTCACCGCCAGAACAACAGGTGGAGTAATGTGTTTTTGTCGAAGACGACCTAGAGAGTCACGTCTTTGTTGCTCGTTTCTTTATTTATTTATCATAGACTTTATTGCCCCGTGCATCGCCACTGCTGCTTTTCATCGTGGACACATTTTTCCTCCAAAACTTTTGTGCACCTCTCGACCGGCAAACCGACGTTTGCGGAGATGTTCCTCCATGAATCAGAGGCCATCCGCGCGTCCTTATAGTCTGCCAATGACGGTTTGTATAAGTGGTCATATTTACACATTTCTTCCGACAAAAGTTCTTCAATCTGATCCGTTCTCTCGTAAACATTCTTCGTTTTAATAATGTAGGGTGACCAGATTTGAGTTTGTGAAAAAGAGGACACTTCGTCGCGGATTTTTTGAGCTGTCACCCAATCTGGGAAAATCTTTCTTAGCAAACCAGATGTGCAGTCCATTGATCTGTAGCTGTTGTGATGCTTTTTTGTATAAAAAGCAAGGGTACCCTCAGTTTTGTGTTTTGCACAACGTGCACTTTAGCTTCCAAATCGCTGCCACTGACACGTAAGTGCCTGCACTGCATGTCATGCACTCAGCTTCCGAAGCATCATGGGAATTTTTTTTTTAGTTCGTCCGTAAACATTTACATTTATGTGCTGTAAACAATGCAACTAGTGGAGGTGGCAAGGTGCTCAGTGTTGCCAGATTGGAAATGGTGAAGTATCGTACCAAAGGCTGAAAATGGTCGTATTTGGAGGATAATTATCGTGTATCTGTTCTCTCTACAGTCAGAGCTTACGCAAGAACGTAAGGGAGATACCATTTCCAAAACTTGTAAGGGCGTAAAAACTAGTTTGTGAAAGACCCAGAGAAACACAAATATCCGACGAAGCAAAATCCCGGACGTTTTTGGAATCCCTGCTGGACGCATTTTTTAGGTCTCAAAAAGAGGACATGTCCGAGGAAAAGAGGACGTCTGGTCACCCTAAATAATGGTGGTATTGTGCTATGAACCTCGCAGCATCGATCGGACCCTAAAAGCACCGTCTCCACCTCCCCATATCCCCCCATCCACCCGCCCCGACGTCGAACGTTTGACTGCAGTATTTTATGCGCCTTATAATCCGGTGCGCCCTATATATGAAAAATGTACTAAAATAGGTAATTTATTGAAGATGCGCCTTATAATTCGGTGCGCCGTATAATACGGTAAATGCAGATAAATCTTCAATATTGCCAACCATAATCTTACTTTTCACCGGCCACCGCAACAAGCGTGGGAAGACCGAGCGGGTCACAGGGTTCTCCACCACAGGAACCGGTACGGGTTCAGCGAACCCTCTGAAAGACACTCATGTTGTAATTTCAACACAACAGTGAAACAGTCTTCAAATAACGCTCACCACTCTCTGGATTGAACATCAATGAACCATTGACATCATCTGTCATTGCCTGTCATGGACGACATGAAGCTGGTTCCCTCCATCCTGCGATGTTGCCTCCATAAAAATGGGTTTCCATGCTCGGCAGTCCAGGGTTTTTCTCATCTGGGACTGCTAATCCAGCGGAAGCAGAGATCAACCTTTTATTTTTTGATGATAGTTGACTTGATTTACACTTTCACATTTGTACCTTCCTCTGATAAATTTTTGAAAGACTGAGCGATGACCGGCCCAATGATTTCTTTGCCCTTGGGACTCTTCCAGTTGTCATCCGCCGCTTGCATTTGCGAACTGGGAGTTTCAAAGCAAGCTTTAGACAACTTCTGCCGCCTTTTGTAATGCTCTCTGTGTAGTTTCCTCCGTTTTGTTTTTGTGAGATTTGTGACCGGAGGGCAATCCAAAACCTGTTTGGTTGCAATACCCTCCTCATTCAGAAAGTTCACTCTTTCCGTTTGTAATTTGGCTGTTAAAAAAACAGACAGCTGAAAGTAATTTTTCTTTGCAGCAGATACATTACTGATCATTGTTAAACCCTCTCCAGTGACGGCATTCTCTGCTGACGTGACGCTGACAATCAGCTCCGCGGGAAGGTCGTCTGATGTAGATGGAGTGAGGAGATTTTTAATCTTCAAGTCATCCGTTTTGATCGGCACACTCAGATCAGATATGCCAGTGTCATCTCCAGCTTTCACATCATCTAGCAAAACATTGTGAGGCATAGTTGTGGAGTCAACCTTTGATTCGGAGCTTGTTATACAACTGTCCACAGGTGTTTCAACTTTTGCAGGAGATTGTTCCAGCCAGTCTTCTGACTCTATGCTATCAGGTTGGGTTTGTGGCGCCTCAGGAGAGGACAGATTGATATAAACATCATCATCAAGGTCTTCCATTCTCTGCTCTTTTCCAGACATAAGGATTTCTGTAGCCTTGGACACCTGCAGTTGAAATGAGTCTGGTTTGCGTAGGTACGACCCAACGCTCTCCCACTCCTTGTTAGTCCACTCCGGAGATGAGTGGAGGGGCTTGTGAGCAGCCGGCACATCATACTGATCAGGAAAGATGCTGATTTCCCGCGAGGGACTTGCCAACCCGGGATTTTATCAGTGCTGCATAGGTCTGCATATGCTGCGTATTTTGCAGACCTTTAATAGTTTTAAACATGCAAAAATTACAGCATGTTTAAAACTATTAAACATGCTGTAATCACCTGTGTGAATGACTCGTGTATTTGGAAACACAAACATGCCTTGCAGAACATCTGTCCTACTCGACGCAATATCTGAGAAACAAAAAGATATTGAATTTGGCCAATATGAAGCGGTATCATGTTTATTAAGAATGATGGAAATCAACAGTGAGAACAACTGCATAGTGCTCTCTCATCACTTTTTATATCTTACCATCATATGGGAGGAAATGGGAGGAGTGCGAAATGGGAGGAGTGCAACAGGATAAGAAATCCACCATCACTCAGCTGAATGATGAGAGCCTGTAATGAGCAGGTTTGTTAGTTTCAGGATGTTGAATAGCAGGTAAAGTTGAACAAAAACATGCTACATTATGTTTTTGTTCAACTAAGTATATATCTTATGATATTAAAGAGGAGATCAATTGGTGTAACGCACATGACATTTCCAGTGCTCAAAGTTAAGTATCCACAATCTGAAGGGAAATTGAACAAATAAAACAAAAAATCAATTCATAGTTGATAAAAATATCAAATCATTGACCAAAAAAAATAAATCATTTGCTCATAACAGTTGTAGAAATGTTAGTTTGTCTTGTTTTTGGCCTTGGGTTGCTCTCTGTTATTCAAGTCAAAAGAAACACCACTTTGGGCACTAATTAATGTGATAAATATTTGTGACTCAATTGTTATGGAATGACTGAGAAAGCCCTGCAATCTCTGGCAGAATGACTGAACAGAAACTCACAAGATCTTTCTCCTTGATCTCCTGCAGAAGTAGAGAGAGTGAGTAGCTTTCTTCTACCTCGGTGGAAACAAACTCACACTGACTGAAGTATAAGCCATTCAGACAGACTAAAAGACAAATGACAAATACAGCATTCAATAAATCAAAAATTGTGTTGAGACATTTCTGAAGATGCAACTCCATTATAATGTGGCTGATTTTTACAAATATTTTTGAACAGCACACGTTCACCAGAAAAGCAGGTTTCAAAGACCGCCCTTGGAAGCAGCTGACGCAGATTGAACATGGAAATGGCTCTGTCGATTTTAACCACTGGTGACCTTAAAAGAAAGAACAAGACGATGCACAGACAATTGGTTACATAATTGAATTATTATGAGAAATAAAATAATTAAAATGTGTGCATTTTCTATGTGCACATTGTTACAACCCCCGGGTGGTCTAGGGGTGAGGGGACCATAAACATATGGGCAGAACCTGGTCGGTTGTAAAAGGTAATGTTTATTGGGAACCAGAGGTAGACAGGCAGGTAACAACAAACAAAAGGAGGGTGGATGAGGGTGCTGTGAAAAAGACAAACCAAAGTAAATAAAAGAGATCCCCAAAAGGAGGACTATGCCCGAATATACATTTAAACAAACGGTAGGCGCTTACCAAAAAACACAAAGAGCACAGCACCCACTACACCTATGAAACTAACAGGCACAAAAACTACGTGTGGTGAATCAGTACCGACTCTTGCCCTAACTCCCCCCTTTTGCCAGCCCCGTGCTGGTAAAAACACACAAGAACCAAAATGCAGTACTTGACTCAGTTGCACACAAATACACACACAGGAGGCACACAAGTCAACTGGCCATGACGAGCTGGTGGGCTCTCCTTAAGAGCTGGAGGTAAGGCTGAGGTGGTGACGTGCCATTGGGTGCGCTGGGACAGGGTGGAGCTGGAGTGAGCCTAACAGAGCTCCACCGAAACCAGGAAGTAGGCGGGGCTGCAGTCCACAGGGCCGCACAGCCTACTTCGTACAGGCAAGACAAGACAGAAATACAGACCACGGTGACAGCCGTAAATACAAACTCCCCAGTTTTGGAATTTCACAGTCTAGACTCAAACACATTGGCAGAGGAGGCACTATCGAACGCGACTTGACACTCTGGGGTCCACACAAAGTCGACTTTAGGGCTAAGCAACCTGGTCAACGGTTCGACCACAGACGAGAAGTTCCTACAAAAAGCTCTGTAGTAACCAGCCAGACCGAGAAACGAGCGCAACGCTTTACGAGTGACTGGAACTGGACTTGAAGCAATAGCTTCCACTTTTGCTTCCACTGGACGAACTTGACCTTGGCCAACTTGACGGCCTAGATAGGTCAAAGTGGCCTTCCCAAACTCACATTTAGCGAGGTTAAGGGTAAGGTTGCCGTGGGCAAGGCGGGAAAACACTTCCGAGAGGGTGAGCATGTGACTCTTCCAGGTATTTGAGTAGATAATGAGATCATCCATATAGGCATTACAGTTTCTAACACCGGCTAGCACTGTGTTTATTAATCTCTGGAAGGTAGCGGGAGCGTTGCACATCCCAAAGGCCATCACAGTGTACTGTAAAAAGTCATCTAGAAACTGACTAACATAATCTAGCACATTTTGTGCGGGAACAGCCTGCAACGACAGAAACTGGTCATGCAATGTTTGCAGAGGACCACGGAGTGTGTGTCCAAACACCAGCTGGGCAGGGCTGAATCCTAGTGATTCCTGTACAGCGTCGCAAGCAGCGAACAAAACGAATGGAGTGCTCTCGTCCCTGTCATGGCAATGTTTCTTAAGCATAGACTTTAACGTCTGGTGCCACCGTTCTAGCGCACCCTGTGACTCAGGATGGTATGCAGACAAAACAACATGGCGTACATTGAGTGTCCCTAGTATCTGTTTAAATAGCCTGGACTGGAAATGAGAGCCTTGGTCCGACTGTACTACACGGGGTAAACCGAAAGTTGAAAATAATTTAGTTAGCGCCCTAACTATGCTCTTTGCAGTGATGTTACGGAGTGGCACAGCCTCAGGGAAGCGAGTAGCGGCACACATCATCGTGAACAGGTTTTGGTTGCCGTTCTTAGTGCGTGGCAAAGGACCTACGCAGTCGATAATCACTCTGCCAAAAGGTGCTTCAATCACAGGTATGGGATGTAGAGGGACAGGGGAAACTTTTTGATTAGGCTTCCCGGTCATCTGACATACATGACAACTACGGCAAAACGTAGCTGTATCGGTCTTCAACCCAGGCCAGAAGAAATGTCGCAACACTGACTGATAAGTCTTAGTGACTCCTAAGTGGGCTGACCATTTACTTTCACGAGCGACCGATAAGACATGCTGTCTGCAAACTGTAGGCACTACAATCTGATGCACTCTTTGCCAATCTGCATCAGGAGTTACCCCTGAAGACCATCTCCGCATTAACACACCATTTTCTAGGTAAAACGCTACTTTTTCACCGCTTGCTGTATTGCTGTCACTCACCACATTCCTGAAGCAGGCCCGTAAGGTTGGATCCTCTCTCTGAGCCACGGCCAAGCGTTCTCTTGTAGCTGGCAGTGGTGGGGAGGAAGGGGACGTTTCGATCTCGTACTCCACCAACGCTGGCTCCTTCACTGGAGTTGGATCAGTGGTCTGAAAAGGCTCACAAAACACTGTATCAGCTAGAGAAATATCCGACTCGAACCCCAACAGGTCGGAAATACTTTGGGTAACTCGGTGCCGCAGCCAGGAACCCTTGGTACATCGCACACTTCCAAAGTTGGAGTAACTTTACCCCCGACTATGTCATTTCCCAGGAGCAGCACAATACCCTGTATGGGAAGTTCATCACACAGTGCTCCTGGGAAAAACCCACTGACGAGATCAGACTGGATGTGTACCTTATGCACAGGCCGAGGCACATATCCCATTTCAATGCCCCTTAAGACGGACGCGAATCCACAAGCGGATTCAGCTGAAAAGGGTAACGCAGAAGCCAACACAACTGATTGGGAACAGGCAGTGTCTCATAGCACTTTACCAGACTGCTGGTCTGCTGGCCATCCTGTCAGTGAAATAAGGGCTTCGAGTACAAATGGGCGAAAACAGGCATCAACCTCACTTTGGTTGTCACAGTTTAGTTTAGGGCTTCGCGAATCGTTAATTAACCCGACACCTTTGGGCTGATGCACACGCGATGACAGCTGGTCTTTGCGTTTCAAAGTCATACAATCAGCAATAACATGTCCACTCTTATGACAATAAAAACAACGGCGCTCTTCTTCCTTCAGACTGGGGTACCTAGGAGGATTAGACTGGTTTAGATTTCCGCGGCGG